AATGTCTTAAGTAATAGCAAGCTATTATAAGAGTAATCCCTAAAGATAATTGAGACATTGAAGACCCTAAAAATTACATACATATATTTCTGCTTAAAAATGACTATAAGATTTGTGCTGCAAGTTTGGTTTAGAGCAGGGGTCCTCAAACTTTTTAAACAGAGGGCCAGATCACAGTCTCTCAAACTGTTGGAGGGCCGGATTATAATTTGAAAAAAACATGAATGAATTCCTATGCACACTGCACATATCTTATTTGTAGTACAGAAAACACTTAAAAGCAATACAATAATTAAAATGAAGAACAGTTTTAACAAATATATACTTATTAGTATCTCAATGGGAAGTGTGGGCCTGCTTTTGGCTGATGAGATAGGATTGTTGTTGTTATTGTGTGCTTTCAAGTCGTTTCAGACTTAGGTTGACCCTGAGTAAGGGCCGGGTGAATGACCTTGGAGGGCCGCATCCGGCCCCCAGGCCTTAGTTTGAGGACCCCTGGTTTAGAGGTTGCAGAAAGTCCTATAGGCCTTGATAGATGAAGATCAAGCACTGTTTCTAAGTGAATTCGTGTTATTGTTTGGGGAAAGGATGTACCAATGGTTCTTTTTCATTTAATGGGTGTAGAATATAGAGAGAGTGAAACCATCAGACAGATAATTTCAAGACAGATTAGATAATGTAGATTGTATGTAGTTAATGTTTTCTGATGTATAGAATGTAGTAGTAGTGATATGTTTTCTTTTATTCTAATTTTTTCGACTTTGTTTTTGTTTGTTTGTTTGTTGGTATATAGGTTTTTTAATTTTTTTCTAAATAAAAATTAATAAAAAATAATTATAAACAAAAATCACCATGGAGCTTATTCTTCTAGCAAATGCACTTTTCTCCTTTGTAGCATGATTTGCAAACACAGCTGTTTATTGCAAAATGGATTTCAACAATTAATACTGATTAACTTTGTAAAGACAGGATAATTTATGAAAACTTACTAATAGCAATGGGCTGCTGTTAACACCCAGTTTGGATTGATTAATGTTCCTCCACAACTGCCATTTCCTTGCACTATGGCCATGAATGGTCTTGAGTGTGGAATGGATTCTCTCCCTCCGATTATATCTGCACATTGATCTAAGGGAAGGAAGAAACCGATGTTGAGTTACAGAGAGACACAAACAGACATCATAGTAGTAGTAAATCCTTCAGTAATAGTGGTGCTAAGCCCTAGGTATGCACCAAATCTTGTCTAAACTAAGAAACTACTGTAAGTAGGGTCAGCTCTGGCTAGTATTTGGATAGAAGAGTAGCAATGAATACCAGGTGCTGTAAGCTATATTTCTCTCTCTCTCAGTCACACAAAAACACTGCTTTAAAAGAAGCCTGATGACCATCATGTTAGAAATAGCAACCTGCTAAAGCCTCCACTAGTTATTTGTTATCTATATAATTGCTTACTGTATTGCACTCTGCTGTATATATTTCCAAAAGGTTATTTGACCAGTGGGTTTTCAAAAGGGTTATGAATCCCATTTCCTGAATGGTTATGGAAATTCACATTTTCCAAAACATCAAACCAAAAAGTGCACCCCTAACATATGTGGGCACAAGATATTTCAGTCAGCCACTTATGTATCACCCTAAAGAGGAGATAGATAGATAGATAGATAGATAGATAGATAGATAGATAGAGATAGATAGATAGATAGATAAAATGTGCCTGTGTAATTGATATGTCTAAGGCTGTGAATAGATCATTTGTGTATCTGTTAATCTGGGGGCCCATCCACACAATGTACGAGGGGTAAGATCCGTTTGAACATAAGTACACAACGAAAGTTTATTTCAAAAAAGTAAATTTATTTTCAGAAAGTACATACTTCACTCTATTTTTCGACATAGTTGCCAAGTTTGTTCAAACATTTATCATACCTCTGAACCAATTTTAAAATACCCTCTTCATAAAAATTTGCTGCCTGCTCCGATAACCAAATCGTCTGTAATCAAAGAAGGGCGACCGGAGCGGTCCTCATCATGGACGTTGTCACGGCCATCTTTGAATTGTTGTACCCACTTACACACTTTGCTTTCACTCATAACAGTATCACCGTACACTTCACAAATCTGTCGATGAATTTCTGCAGCAGGCAGGTTCCTTGCTGACAAAAACCGTATCACTAAGCGGCGGGTGAGTTGATAGTCTTAAACATTTTTAAAGCACAGAACAGAACCGTACAGGTTAGCTACAGAGCGGAAACTGAGCACAGTTGTTCCCGAGGCATGCCGGTACACGACGCACACGCTCGTTGCGGTATGCGCACAAACTACTAGTGTCTACAACAAAACGGACCTTACTTAAAAAATACCCCTCATATGTATAGTGCTACTATTCCAGCTGTCATGGTTCTATCCTAGGGAATCAGACACATTGCAGAAAGGGGGGGGGGGCATCACCTTCTTAGCAAAGCATATCATCCCCTTCTTTTGTAAAAGACATCATTTTGTTTTACAAAACCCATCAGACGCTTTATGTTTTCCCATTCTGTCCCACATTCTGAACCATCACGCATGCAAGTTCTGTCCCTGCCCATAATGCAGTATTATTATTATTATTATTATTATTATTATTATTATTATTAATCTGGGAAAACCTCAATATCAAAAACCAAGATTACTATGAAACCCATCCCATTTGTGGGGAGGGGGGGGGGAGGCAGGAAGCAGAGGAATTTTAAATCTTTTGCCATGATCTGCCTTTCCCATGCCTTTCTTCCCTCCATTATAGCAGTGTAATTATAAACGACTTTGTCACGATCCCCTCCTCCCAGGCTTTGCTTCCCTTTCATTATACCAGGGTTTTGTTTAAAGCTAGCAATAGCACAATTTCTATGAAGAAGGAAATGCAGAAAAGGAATAAAGGTAAAGGTTTTCCCTTCACATTAAGTCTAGTCATGTATGGTGGTGCTCAAATCCATTTCTAAGCTGAAGAGCTGGCATTGTCCGTAGACACTTCCGAGATCAGGTGTCCATCATGACTACATGAAGCACCATTACCTTCCCACAGACTCAGTCTTGACTGATCTACTCATATCTGCATGTTTTGAACTGATAGGTTGGCAGAAGCCGGGGCCAACAGCAGTAGCTCACCTTGCTCCCCGGATTCAAACTGCCAATCTTTCAGTCAGCAAGTTCAGCAGCTCAGCGGTTTTAACCCACTGTGTCATTAATATAAAAAATTACTCCACATTACTAAAACAATTCAACATGGGCAGATCTGACAGATCCCACGTGTTTTAAATCACTTTCTCTTATTTCCAGACACATTGGGAGCTCGGAAAACAGATCCTCCCTGTCTCCTGTCCAACCCCTCCTACACCTTTCTGTACACTTCTACTACATTTCAGGGACCAAGTGCTATGGATGACAACCAGAAGTAGTTTTATGTTATGTAAAGGGCTCTGTGGCACTTTGTCCATGAAATATCTTAGAACTGGTAAACTGGCTGGGATTTCTGGGAGTTGTAGGCCAAAACACCTGGAGACTCACAGGTTGAGAACGACTCTTAGAAGGACTTGCATCTGATGAGATCTCCACAGAATCAATTGACTGGCAAACTGGAGAGGGGCATTTAAAAATCCCACCCAGAATGCTCACCATACTACAAACCCCATGATTCCATAGGATGGTAAAGTGGAATAGTAGAGCTATAATTGCATAGTGTGAATTGGTCCTAGGCACTAAGTGCTGATAGGCAACTTCGGGGCCCTAGTTCTTCCTTCTTATGGTTCCTTTAACCAAATGTGGAATAGATAGCCCTAGAAAAGAGAACATCTTCAAAAGAAAGTACTTGAGTACCATTCAGACAAAAGACTCTCCCCTTAAAAATAATTGTGACACCGTAAAAATTGCCTTTTTGGACTACCACCTCCAGAATCTGGAAGAATATGACCCACTATGGATAAAATATACAGCCATCTCAGCTTTGCTTTATGGTAAGTGCCCTATTTTTGCTTTTCCATGCAAAGGGGGTTTCTTATGGCATTGTTGAGTTGTCATCTATAGCTAATGGACTGGACTGACCATGCATTATACAAGCCTCCTCCACAGAGGAGCTTATGTGGAGGTACTGAGCATTAGCTCACCTTGATGTCCAAAGGCAGAACTTTAAGTGTGTGTTAAAATTCTGTTATCTAACCTACATGGTGAAATTTTCAGTCGCTGCACAGTAATCACAGAATTTACATAACAATTTTCTAACCAAACCCCACGATTCCCTGTTAAAGTTAAACATCTTGAGTGCCATCCAGTGGAAGCTGAGCATGCCTGATTCCCACAGAACTGAAGGACACAAGGACCATTAAATTAGGCACCAACTGAGTGCTTACTTCTATATGAGATTTATTCATTCATTTGATGGTGCAGGAAATAATTATAAAGTGTATAAATAAATATAGGGAAACAGGAGAAAAGCACAGTGTTTAATGTTTGCCAGCACGAGCCCTTTATCTCTCTCCTGTTCTCTCTCCTTGTTGCTCTCTTATCAATGTCTTTTCAAACACAGATGTCATGATTGCTGGTCGTTGCTGTATTTCTAATTTGTAGCTTTGAATTTGTATAGTTTTTAAGATTGTGCACCGCTTTGGGTTTCAATGCTTAGGAGAAAAGAAGGGTAACAACAACAACAACAATAGAAATTACAACAAAAATAGATGGTATGCATCAGATTAGAAACATGTGTTGCAGAATCTTGGATGCAGTTTGAGGAAAGGAAAAGTAAAGCGAGAAGAAAGAACAAACAATGAAACCACATGCATGAAGTTTGTATCATGGATGCCACTGTTGTCTCCCTCATTTTGCAAATACTAAGAATCTGCATTTTTGCAACAAACAGAACACAGGGTACATTGGCTGTTTCATTCCATAATATCATACCTTTTTCATATTAAATACCTGTAGTTGATACTTGCAGAGAGAAAACACAGATTACTATTATGCAGCACACTTACCTCTGGAAATTCTGAGAAGGAAAATGGCCATAAAAAGCCAAATGTCAAAGAGGAGAGCCATTCTTGCGCCTATCTGTTTTACCCCATGTATCGATGGCATATATATATGATATTCAAAGGAAGTGGGTTTGGCTTCTTTCTCCTATGTGTATTGCATCAGAAACTGAGAAATCTGCCATAGCTCCAGTATGAAACTGAAAGTAATCTCTTGTTCATTTCTAGGCCTGAAATGTTCATCATGCCGTTTCCACTAAATACCTTCTCAATGCAATATGAAGCAAAAGAGAAAGATTTCTCAGTACTAACATCTTTTTACTCAGTTTGTGGTCTGGAATATATAAGATGTTTCGTGTCATATATGTGCATCGAAGATTGGTGTGTAAAAGAAATGTTATAGAATTCATGAAAAAAATCCAAATTTCCTGCTGAGTCAGAAGTATGCTTTGTGGGAATTAGAGAGATCAGGTGAGAAAGGCGCTGTGTTCAAATACCTATAGCCTCTATTTCCAATCAGAAACTAGAAATGAGGAGATTCAAAATACAATAGTTTAATCTGCAGAAAACATTAAGGAGTGATTGCCAGAAAAGCAGAGAACTACGTTTGACTGTCCCACATCATTATAGTGAAACCAGGGTCATTAAGGTAAACATGCACATATGCCATCAAACCTATCTCCCTCTTTCCTTTCTGCGCGTTCCTGCCTCTCAGCCCTTCCCTTCAATTCGGCGTCTCTGTTCCTCTTTTTCAAAAAACCCCCTGTTTTTCTGAAAACAAACGTTCAATTTTCCCTCCTTCCATCTCTTTCAGGTCCCTCCCTCCTCTCACCCACATCTTTCCCCTGGTGCTTGGCAATGCTTCTTATCTCTTTCCAAATTCCTTCCCTCCTTTTCAATCTCTTCTCACTCATGCCTCTGCTCTCTGTAACCCATTCTTAAACTTTTTTCTTGTAAAATTCTCTTTTCAAATCTTAGCTCCATTACCTAGATATTTCTAGAGAGAATCTAGGAATCTCTAGATCAGTGGTTCCTGGCCTTTTTTTGAGCAGGGACCACTTGACCAGGGACCACTTTCCAACATTAGTATCAAAAGGGTTAGGAATCAGTTTTTGTCAGCTTTAGATTCAGTTTGGTTATTTGGGGGTGCTGATTCAGAAAATTGCATTGGATGGGCCACATCAGCACTAGTTTCTGATACAGAACATATATCATCCAGTAATCACCAGCTAATCACCCACAGAAAAACATATTTAATAAGCCTCGGCACTATAAGAGGGTTTCACAAGACCAGTTCCTTTGTTGCAACAGTGTAGTAACAGTGAGGCCGTAGAGCATATTTTAGTTCTTGCGGACTACTGGTGGTCCATGGATCACAGGTTGGGAACCACTGGTCTAGATCCTCCAATGCACTTCTGTGGTCAGATTCCAGCAGAGGTTGACCATAAAATTGTGCTGGAAGATGTAGTCATTCCTGGAGTGGTGTTAAGACATGGATGCGGGACCAAGCCTTTGGACAATGATTTCCAGTGCAATAATGATCTCCCAGTGCAGTAATGAATAACCGAAATTGTCAACCGAAATGACTCCAGGAATATGCTTTTCGATTGTGTGATTTTCAATTAAATATGTTTTAATTTTGTGGTTTTACAGGATGAAAGCACATTTTAGAGATTTTTTTGCTAACTTAAAAACATACTTTGTGCAGTTGCTCAAGGTATTATACTTAATAATATCATCAATGTTCCTTTTAACATCATTCTTGTAACCAGGACCCGCTTCTTGTGACATCCCAAGAGCTTCTTCCTAGAAACTTTACTGCACGATGCTGCTCTCCTCCATCCTTCGTGTGAACAGGGTAGTAGCAATTTACTGACATGGGGACCTTTGCTATCATACTACTGAAGCATCATGCCACTGTAATGTTTCAGCAGTGCTAGGTGCATAACATAAATCTACTCTCACACTGTACAGATTTTCTCTGTTTAAATTGGTTAAAGATAATTCAAAATTGCAGACTTTGTTTTCAAAAGGTACCGAATTCATCTGCACAAATTTTACAGGAATAAAAAAATGTGCTGAGGATTGCTTTCAAATGCTACAAAATGAAAATTTTCAGACCTTGTACTGAAGTGATTTGACACATTTTGATGGTTTTGATTTGTGATAAGATGATCTCTGAGATAAAGATGGGAAAGGCTCCGGTCTAGATGGATTATCGGCGCTATATTCTTAAGTAGTAGCAAGCTACTATAACACTAATTCTTAAAGAATTAGGAGACATTGAAGACCCTAAAAATTACAGACCTATATTTCTGCTAAATAATATCTATAAGATTTGTGCTGAATGGTAAAGTATGTTACACTTATTTTGCACAAGTTGCCATCTGAATACAGATCTAGACACATTACATTATTTTTGAATGTATACTTTCTGATTATATATTTGATTGTTTGTGTCAAATAATTAATTAAAAATAATTTTTAAAACTTGTGCTGCAATTTTGGCCTTGATACATGAAAATCAAGCATGCTTCCTAAGTGAAAGAGTGTTATTATGTGGGGAAAGGATATATCAATGGTTCTTTTTGACTTAATGGATGTAGACTACCGAGAGAGTGTAACTGTAAAAGATAGGCAGCCAGCCTGTGCAGATATCCCACCAATATTTTGGTTATCCCACTGCTGCCACCAATTAATTACTGTGACATAAAAGTAAAGGACAGACAGGGCGGACGGTATACCAAGAGCTTGGATATCCCACCTGTCTACATTGTGAGGCGATGAGGCATTACGAGAGGAATGAGAAATCAAAACTCACAAACTCAGTGACTTGTAGGTTATACAAATAATGTAAAGACAGATTAGATAATGTAGATTGTATGTAGTTAATGTTTTGTGATGTATAGAATGTAGAAGTAGTGATTTGTTTTCTTTTATTCCAAAAAAGTATTTTCAATTTTGTATTTGTTTGTTTGTTTGTTTGTTGGTATATAGATTTTTTTATTAATTTGTCTAAATAAAAAATAATTATAAACAAAAATCACCATGGAGCTTATTCTTCTAGCAAATGCACTTTTCTCCTTTGTAGCATGATTTGCAAACACAGCTGTTTATTGCAAAATGGATTTCAACAATTAATACTGATTAACTTTGTAAAGACAGGATAATTTATGTAAACTTACAATTCGCAGTGGGCTGCAGTTAACACCCATTTTGATTTGATTAATGTTCCTCCACACATGTGTTCTCCTTGGACTATGGCCATGAAAGGTCTTGAGTGTGGAATGGATTCTCTCCCTCCGATTATGTCTGCACATTGATCTAAGGGAAGTAAGAAAACCCAATGTAAGTTACAAAGAGATACAAACAGACATTATGGCAGTAGTAAATCCTTCAGTAATAGTGGTGCTAAGCCCTATGTATCATGAAGGCACCAAATCTTGTCTCATCTTAGAAGCTAAGTAGGGTCAGCTCTGGCCAGTATTTGGAAAAAAGACTTGCATTGAATACCATGTGCTGTAAGCTGCATTTCTCTCTCACACTCACACAAAAACAACACTGCTGTAAAAGAAGCCTTATGACCATCATGTTGGAAATAGCAACCTTCTCAAGCCTCCACTAATTATTTATTATCCATATAATTGCTTACTGTATTGTAAGTAAGTAAGTAAGTGTATGTAAGTGTATGTGTATATTGGTTTGCAATTTTCCCTAACCTCTTTGTTGTGGGAATGTGATCAGAATGGGGCATGTTCAGATTCAGGCTCCATTTTAGATTTCAGATGCCTTTAGACATCAGTAGGAACAGTTCAGCTTAGACTTCAATGCAGAAACCGTTTATTTTGTCTCTTGAGAGCATGATGTAAAGGCAAATATATTTTAAGGGAGAGTAGATGTTTTTGGGCAACTAAAGGAACACTTAGGATACTCTGCTGTATATATTTCAAAAGGCCATTTCACCAGTGGGTTTTCAAAAGGGTGATAACCATTCCTGAATGGTTATGGAGATTCACATTTTCCAAAACATCAAACCAAAAAAGTGCTCCACAAATGTATGCGAGCACAGTGTGTTTCAGGCAGCCACTTATGTATCACCTCAAAGAGGAAAATATTTTTTGTGTGTGTTTGATATGTTTAAGACTCTGAACAGATCATTTGTGTATCTGTTAATCTGGGGGCCCATCCACACAATCTATTGATAGTGCTACTATTCCACTTCAGCTGCCATGGTTCTGTCCTAGGACTTTAGACACATTGCAGAAAGTGGGGTGGGTGGTGGTGGTGGTGGTGGTGGGGGGGGGGGAATCACCTTCTTAGCAAAGCGTATCATCCTTTTCTGTTTTAAAAGACATCATTTTGTTTTACAAAACCCATCAGACGTTTTATGTTCTCCCATTCTGTCCCACATTCTGAACCATCGCACATGCAAGTATTGTCCCTACCCACACCACATTGTTGTTGTTGTTGTTGTTTTAAATCAGGGAAAACCTCAATATCAAAAGCAAGATTACTATGAACCCCATCCCATTTGTGGGAGGGGGGGGGGAGGCAGGAAGCAGAGGAATTTTAAATCTTTTGCCATGATCTGCCTTTCCCATGCCTTTCTTCCCTCCATTATAGCAGTGTAATTATAAACGACTTTGTCACGATCCCCTCCTCCCAGGCTTTGCTTCCCTTTCATTATACCAGGGTTTTGTTTAAAGCTAGCAATAGCACAATTTCTATGAAGAAGGAAATGCAGCAAAGGATTAAAGGTAAAGTTTCCCCCTTGACATTAAGTCTAGTCGTGTCCGACTCTGGGTGGTGGTGCTCATCTCCATTTCTAAGCCAAAGAGCTGGAGTTGTCCGTAGACACCTCTGAGATCGTGTGGCCATCATGACTGCATGGAGCACCCATTACCTTCTCACAGAATCAGTATCGATTGATCTACTCATATCTGCATGTTTTCGAACTGCTAGGTTGGCAGAAGCTGGGGCTCACCCCGCTCCCTGGTTTCGAACAGTTTCAGCAGCTCAGTGGTTTAACTCACTATGTCATTAATTAA